GTTTTATGGTGAATTTCATGGAAATGCAGCTGTTGCTTTGGATTCTACTGCACATTCATTTCAGTCTTTTTCCATCAACAGTAAACATTACATGATCCAAACAAAACAAACATTTTCTAATCAGGCTAATTCAAACCTGTCCTGGGTTGGACCTATTTTAAGACAGCAAAATATGATTAAAGATTCATGTCACACACACACACTGAATTAATGTGAGGAGAAATAAATGGAAATGTATGCTACAGAAAACAGATTCTCCACAGCAGTGTTTACATGAAATATGTTCATGTCTTTGTTTCATCCATTGTTTCATCTGGGAATTAAAACCTTGTGAATATCATAGCCTGTAACGATGACATCTCATTACCTTCCCCCCACTGTCTCTGTGTTGCAGACACACCTGTGTGCTACCAGGTGGAGGGCAGCCGCCAGGCCCTGAGGGTCACCATGTTCCTGGACAGCTGTCATTTCAGCGAGCTGCCCAGTCGGCTGCAGAACGGAGGCAGCCTGAAGCTCCACACAGTCCTGTTCTCCAGAGGTAAGGTGGGCTGGGTGGGCAGATTAAAGGGACATTTCTTAAAATTAGACTGACACATTGCTGTCAACAGCAGCAGGAACATTTCCATTCTAAATCTGATTTTACCACTTTATAATACATGTGATATTTTATTACACTGGCATAAATTTCACAGCTAGCTGGTAACATCATCCAGTTTCCTCTGACATAACTCATAGTAAACATGAACATCCTCAAAGCTCACAGATGGAGAACTACAACATAGAGTAACATCATGAGAAAACAAGTTAAACAAATTATAGATTAAAAAAATCAAAAAACACAGTGGAAAACTATTATTTCTCTTTCTCCTTTTGAGGTTGTACAACTTCCAAAGCTAATGACCAGACATAGAAATAAACTAAATCATCCTTAGTCATCTTCGTTCCCAAACCTTTGCTAAATAAACATGTGGGTTTGTGTTTTTCCCCTCCTATATTTCTCCAGATAAACACAAATTGGCAAAGATTGAATAAAAGCAATTTGTGTAACAAAAGATGTACTTAAGATTGGAGACGCACCGATCCACTTTTTCACTTCTGATACCAACATCTGAGGTTTAGTATTGGCTGATATCGATCCAATACAGAAAATCAGCTGAATTTACTTTAATTTTTTTTTAAACATAGACATAAATGCACTGAATTACTAATATATTTGATTACACTGTGTCAGTACAGTAAATTTAAATACACCAACAGCTTCACAAGGAAAACAAGTTGAATTTGTCCAGTGCAGTTAGCAGAATAACAGCCAATGCAAAAAAAAAAAAAAAAAAAAAGAAACGGAAACTGACTAAAAACAAAAGGTTGACTAAAAACATAAAAATAAACTACAACAAACTTCCTTTCAAATGGTTCAGAAAGAGCTATTAGGATTTCTAAATATAATGTAAAGCAAATAATAAAGCATGACATCACTTAGAGCATAAAGCATAGAACTAGACTGAATAGATTTGGAGCATTGTTACTGATACTGATCTAGAATTGTTTTCAATATCGGATATTGATATCGTATCGGTGAATCTGTATTTATGGTCAAACATTCTACACACATTTACCAGTAAAAACAACAAAGTGTATTTGATCCCTTTCAACCTGAAGATACATCCATATTTTTAGTAACTATAATTTAGAAAACCCTAAAAGCCATCTTGGTGAGACAAACTTCACATGAAGAAGCCATCTGAAATGGAAACCGTTCATATACATTACAGCTCAACTTTAAATCATTTAAAAAGCATCTTCCTCTCACACGTTCATCTGCTGATGGCTTCAGTTGTTTAATGGGTTTAGATTGAAGCTCTTTATCGGACGCCTCCACCTCCCAACTCTCCTGCTCTCCTTTTAGTTCTCCATCAGTGTCGATCAGAAGACATTCAGTCTGCAAAACAGCCATTCATTTTCCATATGGAAGTGCTAGCTGCAGCTCTAATCCAATCAAACAGCTCTGATTCTTCCATGAGCTTCAAAGTGCAAAACAGCCCAGAGTCTCTGAGCAGGACACCACAGTGGGTAAACATCGCCACCTGCTGGAAAACAGACCTCACTGCAAGTTACGGGGAAGTCCGGAGCACCTTGGGGTTACAGCAGCAGATATTTCTATTTTTGTTTTTTTGTTTTTTTGTTTTTGCTTAAAAAGTAAAAAAAAAAATGATGGCTTATTTCTAGCCTTTATGTGCCTTTTTTAATTATCAGTGTCCCTGAAGTAGCATTGTTAAAAACCTGGATGCTTTGTTTCTCAGCACTGGAGCGTCCAGACGGCGTCTCCCTGCAGGACAACGTGGACATGGAGGAGTTCCAGCAGCGCATCAACGCTGTGTCCCTAGAGAAGGTCAAGGCCTACTACCGCAGACTCAGGTACACTTGGCTCAGATCACTCTGATGGAGCTCACTGTGATGATGGAGCTCACTCTGAAGGAGCTCACTGTGACGGAGCTCACTCTGAAGGAGCTCACTGTGACGGAGCTCACTCTGAAG